CATTTTGGAATATTTTTTTGTGTTTAAGAATTAAAATAGAAGAGAGATCTTTAAATAGGATACATAAAATTCGGTTCTGACTCTCATCTGATATAAACATCAGATGGATTACTTTTTGTGTATTCATCTGAAATCATGCATTTATTTGCGTTTTCTCCTGTGATTAATACATGTTTTGTGTCTTTGTTGTTTATGAATGTTTGTTGCTAATATTAGAACTAGAGTTTTATGATACACTTAATTATATTCTTCTCTGATTAAGCACTCTTTATTAAAGCTAACATTGATCACAAAATTAATTTCTGTATATTCATTACTACAATAGCAAACTTTATTAAAGTTGAAAGATTCGAACAGAAGTCACATTATAAAACTTCACGGTATTTATCTCTTTGGCTGACGACGAATGTGCTGCTTTTTAACCTTTTATAGTAATTAGTTGTAACTAACTGAAAGGATATTGCAGTTCGCGTTCATTTATTACCTTCATTTATGAAATACAGCAAGTAATCAAGACAATTAATATTTTCAGCTTATTTAGTTGAAGACAGAAACCTAGTTTGAATCGCATTTAAATAAACGTATTTGAATTGTTAGGGTGAGTTCAGTAAACGCTATTACTGTAAATTCCCTTAAATACTATTTTTGGCGTTTATTAGTTTTTATTTTTATTGTATTGTTGTATTGCTATTATTTATTTTGTATTACTTCTTTAGCAGTTTTATTTACTTCTTTTTTTTTACAATTCCCTTTTTTTACTTTGCATTTATTTTATTTAAATATTGCAAGCTGGAGTACTTGCATGAAGAAAGCATTTAATCTTATTATACAAGTATCTCTATGTGCCCCACTAGATTGTTGATTTGCAGTGTCTATGATTTAGTGTTATGCTCTTGTGTATAGTACAAGCAGTACCGAAATTTTGGAGTTGTGCGCAGGAAGTCCGCTGGCCTTAACGGTACATATTATATTTGCGATATTCTGCGGTCTGTGTAAATATATACTCAAAATATAAAAGTATGACAGAAATTTATTAACAAATCAAATTTAACTGGAACAAATGTGTCCTTTAAAATCCTAATTGCAATCATAATACAACCTTTTCAAGTCATCTGCATCTTCCTTGCAATAACAGTATAATGTTCCTCGCTAATTTGTCTAGATAAAATGTTGAGGAACCTAGTGAACTAAGTAGCGAATTATCGCTGAGTTCAAGTAGTTGATACAAAGATTAACATACCCTTAGAATCCATAGATTAATATACCATAAGACGGATTAACATACCATTTTATTCACTCAAAGAAATAATAAGATTTGGCCCCTTCTCGGGCTTACAGGAAGACTTGGGCTTTTGAATCTGGATACGAAAATAAGAAACTAATTTAATACTAAACTAAATAGTCATAACCGAAGCTAGACATAAATTAACCTAGCAGGCAATTCTCAGCAGGCACTTACAATACTGCCGAGCGTAACAGGTTCAAGAACGAAGCATCCAGGAGGCAAACACGCGCCACTAAAGGCTCCTAAGCACACTCCCTCGAAGTAAGTTGAACTTCCTTTAAATACGTCTTCAACTCATTTGCATTGATTGCGATTCTAAAAACTTATTCTGGTAGGGAGTTGTAAGTGGGAAACAAGAATTGAAAGGTAAGGATTTCAAAATTAAAAATAACTGTTATACAATTAAAATACACTTTACAATTGCAACGCGAAAACTCTCGCCCAATCGCTGTGCAGTATTAAAATCCTGCATAGCAATCTGAGATTATGAATACTCCATCTACGATTTACACACTCTCTTTCGCCGCTTGCTTTATGCGTAATAAAGTCAAATCTCTCGCTTACCTCTATTATTCTACTTCTTAAAATGTCAGCTGCGTGCATAGAAATTTTGCGGCTCATTTAGCAACTCTAGTTTTATACCAATAAAGCAAGCATGTATTTCTAAAGAGTTGTTTCTGCTCAAAATAAAAATGATGTCTTTAACCATCAAGCCAGTTGTGATTTTCCCTCCCGTCATCATCTACGCAACAGTTTTCTCGGTTATCGCTAAAACGTAATGGGCTTCATCTTTTTTAGCCAACACTACTAAATTCTTTCAATGTACCAACAAAATTTATTACATATATACAATACCTACATTATAGCTGTGTCCGCTTTCAAGCTTTGTCACTAAATTTTGCCAAAATGATATCATAACACATTTTACTGCGTCGTGACGTATTTCACTTGTCTGGCAATAAAATTAGATCAATATATGAATTTATCAAACCTGAGAAAATCCAAATGAATTTCTAACCGTAGCGAATTTGGTCTGTAAGGCACATGACTCAAAACAGGATATCCGGAAAAAGAGATGCATATGGGGCATAAAGGACAAATTTTGTGAATTTGTCCTTTATGCCTGATTGTCCCGAAAACTTGCTTCTCTTGACTTAAAACGTAGCTGTGGAATCTAATTACCGCAGTTTAGGCTGTTTCTCATCTGCTTATTTTGAGTGCACCACGTAATTTTATATCTTAAAAACCATTTCTCTGCTTAAATTGAAGCAAAATAACTTTTAAATAATGTTTAAATTTCGGCTCGAACGTTATATTCATTCATTTCCGAATGATGTCGTTGCATCATTAAGGATAGATCTTCAAAATACTGCATTTATTGCTAAGATGATCAACAGATAAATCTTGGAGGCTAATGATGTCCAAAGAGTTTTTTATAGAAATTCCAATCTGTTGTATTGAATTTCCAAAGTTTTTGCTGATGTTGAATGTTTTATGAAAAGGTTTTAGCTCAATCAGTACAGACACTCCTAACAAACTCAAATACCTTCCAAGTTCAAATAGAATAAATATCCCAGCTAGCACATGAAACATCTAATTCTTCTCCACTCTTATAACTATAGGAGTAGTGTGACGAAGACCTGTGAATCATTAAGCAAAAAATCATTTTTATTCATAAATTTTGAGAGCGGAAAACTTTCTCGTTTCATGCAAGACATCGGCAGAGAAGATGAAAAATTTGTTTCCTAATAAGCACGGTTGGCGTGTTTACTCAAACGTTTTCAATATTTTAAAATGCTCGGAAGATTGTTTCATTAGTGTAAAGAGTAGAATCTAATAATTTTTTAACATTCTAGGTATTCCTTTTCTTTAGTCCCCTTCGCGAGTGAAGTGTAAATGAAACGTCACAATTATGAATTGTCAATCTATTCCATTCACTCTTCTCTTTCAGTATGCTAAAGTCCAAACACGTTTTGTATCTATCTTCTGTTTTCAGGGCCATTTTACTAGTTTATTGTGTCTTTTGAATTCTGATATATAATAACCTTTCCGCATCAAGTGATTCTATATTTCATGAATTATCTCTACAAAATCTCGACATTTCTTAAAGAGGATCAGAGCAATATCCTCCCTTGTTATAAAAGAAATCGTTTGTTTAAACGTGCCCTTGTATTAATTATTACTATTTTGTAATGTCAATATTTCGAGTTTTACTCATCATCCTGCCTTGCTATTCACATTTACATGAGTCGTCACAATGAGCAGCATTATCACTTCATACGCATGCAAAAATAAAATTTTATATTTTTCTGAGGTTATATTTACTCTGTAGTTGAAATAGAAAGTTTCCATTCTATGAGAAATTTGAGAAAGTTTTACATATTTCATCCTTTCTTGCCTCAGGTATTTAAAATGTTTCCTAGTGTATTTATTTGAGGGCTATAGAATTGAAAGTCACTTTAAATTTGCTTTCATTGGTAATTAATGTAAAATAAAACGCTCAATAAGTTTCGAGAATTCGTAACTGTACCTTTCATACGCTAAACATATTTTATGTTTGAAGAATAAATACTATATTATTTGTGCCTTTAATATCTATAAATGAGTCCAGCTTTTCAGTTAAAATTAAAAACTTTATTTTTCCATTTTCTTTTATATCTGATCTTGAGATGGCATGCGTTCAAAATAAATTAAATGCTATTTATATAGATCTGTGATGAGTGGCACTAGCTCTGAAAATCTCCAAAAGTCAGCTTTTTATCACTCATAATACATTATGTGCCGAAAGTAACCTTCGTTTCCATCTTGGCACATACTGATGTAGTACTGAATCATGGTTGTGATACTTTAGAGTTATGTCACACTGCCAATATTCTAATTTCAGTGTTAATGTCTTCTTGAAGTCTTCGAGTGTCCATGGCTGATCATAAGAATGTATTGTTAATATAGCCTAGCAAAACTAAACCCTGGACAGTCAGGTAAAGCATTCGTAGAGACCGCCAATTCCTGGCAAATATGCGATTATTATGTGGTTTTAAAATAAAGCCCCTGCTCTCCGTATCTTCCGTAGATTGTACTTGACACATCGCCTAATCTTTCTGGAAGTACGATTTAGGCAGTTGCGCTTTAGCTACCCTACTGTGCATTTCTATATCTTTCACATACTCCAACTTACCACGCCTATATTTTTTAGAGTTTCACTGTTTTCCTAAAAATCATTTAGTTATCGAAAAAATGAACTTTAATTTAATGTAATCCTGGCAAACGACGCATTATAATATAATATTGTTCAATTAGGGCAGGCTATGCTTTTAGATGACCGGGAAAAGGGAAAATATCTGCTGACTGATTTTTCACAAAACTTCTGGTTTATTTATATATCAATCAACATCTATAATACTCTCTTTAAGTATTTATTATTCCTTGATTCTTTTAATTGGATACTATTAAGTGAAAGAAGCCATGTGTGTGTTGTTTAGACCAACGTTTTTCAACTGAGGTTTTCTTGAATCTTAGTGTTTCGTGACAGATTACTACAAGTTCTACGAGAAATTATGAGTATAGATGGATAAGTTTTGTTAGACATAAATATTAAGCATTTCATTGGGCGGAAACAGTTTAGAAACGTTCGGTTCAATTAAGTAATTTTTTAAAGCATGCTTGCAACTTTCGTCTCAAAGCAAGGGATCTTATAGCACTTTTTTTTTCTTTGCAGAGGCACCTTATCCACCCATCATAGAAGATACTACCATCCAAATCGTCCAGGGTGATCCTTTCACAGCAAGGGCGAACGAACCAAAACGCCTGCACTGTCTGGCAAGAAAAGGAAACCCTCCTGCTACACTGAAATGGTTTCTCAATGACGTTGAACTTACGACAAGTATCAACCAAACGAATATTAGAGATGTTGAGAAACGTAAAACGTGGCAGGCTGTTAGTGCCCTTGACATGACGTTTACCAAAGAAGACAATCATAAAATGCTGAAGTGTGTTGCCATCCATGATGCGTATGATACCAAAGCTAAGGACATCACGGTGCAGTTAGAAATATTATGTGAGTACATCATACTTCTTTGCAATGTTGGCAGCACAATAAGCTGTCAGTGTAAACTGAATTATGTGGTGTAATATTTAGATTCTGTTGATTTGATAAAAATACCTTTTATTAAATTTTTGCTGAACATTATTTAGATATCCATATTAAATTACTCGTATATGCAGGTGTTGAGATTATATTTCAGTATATTAAGTTGGCGTTACAAAATTCTAGCATTTCTAAAAAGCTCTAATTATTTATTTTCGATAAATAATTCAAAAAATGCTAAACATGCATGATTGTTGATTGTTTCTCTTTTCTTAGCATTTCACAGCGTGAAACTGGGCATCGGAAATAATAATTATATATAATAACTTTTTCTTTCACATATTAAGCATAAACAAGGTAGTCTATATTAAGATTCGAGATAACTTGTATAAAGTTACTCCCGTTATTTGTAATGTTATTAAATATGTAAAACATGTAGGTTATTTTCTGCAGAACCATAGCTATTTTGCTATATTATCTTTCATCAATTTATAGAAAAAAAATATTCTGCATCAAACTTCATAAATTTTAACGCTTCATATACTTAATACGTCCTTTTTTGCCTTTCCTGTGTATTTTTTCTGGCTATTACATCATTTATTTTGCACCTCTCAAAATTTAATATAAAGATAATATTTTAACCCTCTAAGCGAGAAGGGCGTATATATACGGCCTAGAATATTTTTGTACCATTTGTAAGAACGTATATACGTGCATATTAAAATATGTCAAAGAAATTAAGGCAATATATCCAAAAGAAAACAAATACAGGTATGAAATACCAGGAGAGGATTTACATTAAAATCAAAAAATAATTTGCTCTTATAGTAGTTTTGGAAAATTAGTGTTTTCTTAGCTGAAACCCCGGCCGCTCAGAGGGTTTTAATATTTAGCTATCTCATTCTTTAACTTCTAAAAGAAAAAGAAATATATTTGTGCTTCTTTCTCACGTTTTATTTTGAGATAAATAAATTCCTAATAATGCGTTTACTTTTCGTTAGAGTTTATCATAATAATTTATTTTACATTTTCTTATCTAGTGGATGCCATAATTCTGTTTATTTAATTATTTTTGTATTAGAATCTTTGTACTTTGTAATTTATACTGCAACAAAAGCTGCATCTGAATTTCATAATATGTATGATAATACGAGATTTTGTATTCGTTTCATGTCTGTTTAAAAACTTGAATATGCTTTAAAAGTATCCTTTTGACTATTTTTCGTGTTTTAGATGCGAAGTTTTATCCCTGCAATATCTATTACATATTTTTTATCTTTTTATTTTCATAATGATATTCGTTGAATTCTCTTCGTTAGGAAATAGTATAGTTTGGTTTTTTTTGCATTAAAAGCTGACATTTAGTTTTCCATTCTGCATTTTTAATTGTATTCCAAGTATTATTTTCTTTTCGATAAGAATTTCATTAAGTTACATACATATATACAGTACTGGCCATTAAAATCGCAACACCAAAAAAGAATGATCTGACGAACGTCAAAATCACATGAAAGGAAGAAGAGATTGAGATATGGAAATGATTAGTATTTCAGCGCATTTAAAGTATGCAGGAGGGAGAAACGACATCTAAAGCACTGCATAAAAGTTACGTGGTGAATTTCTCATTCGGAAAGCCCTTTGTAAGGTCACAATTTGCTGAGAATATCGTGTTATGCCTTGACTTATATGAAGAAATGCTTACCACAAAATGTCGTAATTCGATAGACGCAGGTTCGTTGCGGGTCGAGAGTGTGCATTATCGGTCCATCACATCGCCCGTCTCACTGGGCGACATCTAACCACTGGCATGCGAATATGGAATCAATGAATTGTTGAGGGTCACACTGAATGGCATGCAGGATCTCAACGCCCTTCCATGAGTAACGCCCGAGAGGACAGACATATTGTGAGATCAGCGCTGCAAATCCGTACAAACACATCATGGATCATTAGTCGGGAAATGGGCATGTTTGCAGTACGCCCAGTATCTGCTCGTACGGTGAGTCGAATTTTGCAGCAGTGTGGACTATCACCATGATGACCATTGCTTCTGATTCCCTTGACAATGCAGCATAGAGAAAGACGGTGAATCTGGTGCCCCGAACGATAAAGCTGGATGCAATTGTGTCATAATGGAGTCTTTTAAGACGCGTTCCGGCTCTGCGTGATGTATTCTGATGGCCGTATACGTGCTGGGAAGCTCCGAGGAGATCGCACGTCCTCTGATTATATTCAGTATACGTATAGGGGCCCTTAAACTGGTGGGATGACTTGGGCAGCCATTAGGTAGACGACGCGCACATCTCTAGTTCGGATCGATAGTAATTTGAACGCAGATGAATACATTTCTGACATCTTACGTCCGGTGGCTGTGCCCTATCTTCGAGGCCTGCCAAACGCCATCTTCTGACAAGATATGCAAGACTACATAGTAGTTTTGGGAACTGCTATGTGCACTGCACATCGTGTTCTGGCACCACCATAATGCACGTCGTGTTCTGACCATTCTCGATACATAGGGTATACGATTGCTGCCCTGGCCTACACGACCTCCAGATCTGCCGCCCATTGGAAACATCTGGTCATGGGGTGCTGATAAACTGTCCCGCCACCGATCTCCAGCGAGTATGATTGATGAAATGTGGCATAGAATTGAAGCAGCATGAAATGAGTTGCCCGTTTCTGTCATCCAAGTCCAGTTTGACTCTATGCCTGAAAGGGTAACGGTCGTTTTTGCTGCCAGGGGTGGCAGCTGTTTCTACTAATTTCCCCCCCTGTAAACCCCTAAACTGCTTACAATTTTAATCATATTGTCTTCATGTCATATTGTTTACGTACAGTAAATATCGTAAATATCTTTTTTGTATTTGCTTTCCTTCATAGTGTTCAAATTTCAATGCCCTATAGTGTATATAGTAAAATATTACAATCAGTTACTGTCAGTGTCCTTTCCTATGGCACATCGGTATCATAATAGTTTGGACCAAAAAATTAACTGCCCGATTACTGGAAGTTTGCTTCTAAAATTTGGTAAAAATGTGAAAAATGAATCTTCATCTTGCAAAAGTATATATTACTTGCTCGGATTCATTAGACAAGGTGTTTCAAAATCATTCTTGCAATTTTGTTTAAACGAAATAAAGTATTGATTATATATTTAAATTAATTGCCCTACACAGTTTTCCTCAGATAGGATAATCTATTTTAAAAATAATTTATTGTACTAATCACAACACATATAACATAAATATAAATATGCATACAATAACATATCTCTCTATCTATGCACATAATTTTAAGAATAAACCAAAAATGTTTTTAAATATTAATTCCTATGAATGACCTGCAAAAGAGCTCCAATTTTTAAGAAATTATTATAAGAAATTTTTAAACACAATTTTTGTTTTAATGATTATCCATATAGGAAAAATTGTTTGTGTTATCAATATTACCTCATGTCAATTGGGGACAAAATGCAAAATTATCAGGTTAAATATTAAAGGTGGGAAAAATTTGTACTTAAAGTAATAAGGTATAAAATGTAATAATAAGGTAATAGATGTTTGAAAAAATAAATGGGTCAAACTATTAATCTCCCCTTCAAACAGAAATTCTCAAGGGGTAAGCAATTAAAACATTAAAACTCGATGATTAACACATGTTTAAAACTCGATGATTAACACATGCCCAACACATGTTTCGTTCTTCCTGCCATTATATAGATTCAAATCGGCGCTAACCAGCTATCCAAAACTATTAAATAATAGTTCCAATAATCCCATAATGACATAAACTACCACGACGTGTCTTTGGCACTCTACTAGCTAAAAGCAAATAATGAAAGTAAATTTATAAACGAATTGAATTGAAATGCAAAATTCATATGAAGGTAAAACCTTGAAAATCTGTGTACAAAGTATTCGGAAATGCTATTCTATTTAATATATTATGAAAACGCACAAATTAGTCCTAAAATTGAAATTGCTTAAAAATGAAAATGAAGCTCAATTAGAATTACTTCTAAATTTGAACTTGCTAAAATGGAAGCAATTTCCGAAAAATATTGTAATTCCTGCTGGTATTGGAATACTTTGACAATCAGAGCACTGGGCAGAAAGCACATTGTTTCAGCACATTATCACCGGCCATCCCAATGTTTTGTTTTATTTAGACAATCGGATTCTCTTAGTCCGTGCCAGTTCTGAGTCGGCTGTTAGTTGCCAGCCAAAACAGGAGCTTCGAGCTTTGGGCTCGGTGCACCGCGGTGGTGAGGCATTTCAGTGGAAGGTTCCGACGCTGGTCCGAGCCGATCGGACCGTTTTCAGAGCCAGTCTCGCCCACTCCCGGTGCAGGGCCATACCAGCTTCGGGATCAAGGTTGGAATACTTTAAAAAACTGCAATTTCTGTTTTACCTGAAATACTAGAAAGACCAAAACTGTAAAAAGAAAAAGAAGCAGAAAGTACTTAGCAGACTAACGTGCAACTGTAAAAAATGGTTAAATATACCTGAAGCTTAAACGTGGGTGAAAGGGTAGGTTGTTAAATTATGTAAAAAGCTTGATACTGCAGAAGAAGGAGGGCGATAAAGACCTAAATTGTTTCATTAGAAAATGTGTTTTTGCCTTAAGTTTGGTTCCTTTCTATTAAGGGCAGCCCAGTTTGGCGAGCGTTTGGCTGAAAACTGTGGTCCAGTTGAAACTGTATACGAAGCAATGAACAACTTTTAGAACAGGTTGAATATGACTGAAGATAAACAAAAAGGCGAATAGGCCTAGACGAAAGGTAGTTTGATTTTAAAACCAAATATGGCGAAGCAGTGAAAAGAAACAATACTCTGTCACCACACGCAACACCCAACCCCCCAACACCCCCAACCCTAACCGCCATTCCCAACGCACTGACACACCACACCCCCCCAACGACGCCCCCAACACAAGACCCCTAACCCTATAGAGGCCCTCCATCCCCT